AAAGAGTGATTTGGCTGAGCTTACATCATACATTAATGGCCTCCCTGCGCTTACTACACTCAACATACCCTCTGGAGAACTCTCCAGCGTCGAAAACGCTATCACGTGACCCGTACTACGGGGTTACGGGCCGTAATTGGCTTCAAAACTACTTATCCGTACGTACGTAACTCGATTTTGACCCGTAATTGGCCTCTGAGATTGACCGGGCCGTAGATTACGGACTGTTGGAAGCCCTGGCCACACCCCCTTGGAGTTGACCACCGCGACTTGGATCAGATATTCGTCGACGTCTATCGCGAACGCTTCGAACAATGGAAAGCTAGGAAACGCACCTTTGGCCAATTCAACTCTAACACAAGTGATGCGCCTCTAACCTCAGACACCGACCTAGTCATAAGATCTTCCAAGACCTCTTCGCAGTGAAAGAGGATCAGCTTATCGCCGACGTGCACGATACTTTAGACTTTGGGCCCATTCACTATTCCGTTTATTCAACGACCGAGGGCGCTTCCCATTTGTCAGCCTGAACTCCCCCTCTTTCCGGGTCGATAGAGTCGATTTTGAGCTGGATTTTAGGGAAGAGGATAAAACATTTCCGGGACGAAAAGCTACAGCTGAGGAAATGGAGTAGCTGTCGATACCGCGATCAAGTTGTTTGGCGACAATTCTAGATGCTAAGGGAAGAACCGGCTATGAAACGGGCGAAATTGATGTAGGATATGAAGACATCGAGGGAGGTCGAGAAGGGGTTGAAGTTAAGTTTGACGGCCGTACGAACGGAGTTGTTTGCGGTTATCAAAATGCAACGGGATCAGGTATCTAGACTGTTCTCCAGTTAGCAGTCTGTATGATATCATCATATTCTTTCACCTACCATATCAGCCCCAAGCACTCCCTTCAAAGCTCCGTTTCGGAGTAGCGATACTAATCGCCTGTTACGGGCCATCGGTTCTTTTAATATCTAGTTGTCTTAGTCCACAGTCATATTAAATTTTCAATCCCAATGAGTGAAGCTCCATAAGCCTAATCCAGGACAGATCTCCCTCGCTCTCAGGGCTTCATCCCGGCATGGCGACGGTATTGTAAGCGCTCCTCTCAGGCAACTGCTCGAGAGAAGGGGCGTCGAGGAACTCACGATTGCTTCGCCGTTGTAAATTTGGCATATGCTACAGTTGGTATTACGGTCTGCACAGTATAACTGCTATCTGACATCCGAATTGTTTTTCTTTGTTAGTGTCTTGATCTTGCATTGGATGACTCGCCCACCAGGTTTGAAAGGCCGTGGGGAAGTGATAGAAGGAAGTTCTTCATAGAAATTTGAGTCTCCTTGAATTGCGCGACATCTACTCCGTAGTACAGGGTACTTAGCGTAGAATGAGCTTCTCCAAGGTATTTGCTGACCCCTTGTAAGAGACAATGAAAACAACAAGTCCGAGTGCATCTTCCTCCACCGGCCAGGGTGAAAAGATTACAAGGACGGCCATGCCAGTTCGTGGCTGCGCTATGGCTTGAGGGATACATGATATCAGGAAGCAGACACCGGCCCAGATGCCCCTCGGACATCTGTCAAGCATGCTTGGCGCTGCAGGTGCGGTGGTAAGGAGCCTGTCTATCAATCTACGACTCGAAAGCCGGAAATGGCGGCTTAGAATGAAATGATGGATATGCAAATGTCTAATTTGATTTAAGATGAGTGTATCTGACGACAATGGAAAGCATAATGCCTGCTTGGCAACATATCCAAAATCACTAACGATGAGTGTGGCAAACAAGAAAGGAATGGCTCACGAGAGAGATACGTTAAGAGAAACAACGATTGTATTGGAAAACATCGTTTCAACTTGCACGTACGATGGAAGACACATTTTAAGAAGCTCTTCCGTCGAAGCTTTCGACCGCCCCACAGACTTGTCATCACCATGCGGGAATGAGCAAAAGCAGCGTATCGCGAAAGAAGTTCCTCTGCGGAGACAATTCTCCCACCAGTCACGTCAGCGTATTCGACCAGTGCGCGGAAAGCAACAGAACGCCATGGGCGCCACGGAGCCAGAGCGATATTGAATCGACCCACCGCCCAGGGAATGGTGAAACGGAATAAGTCAGAAGCGAGAGAAACGAAATAAACGGTGGTTGGACTACTATAGCGCTTCGGAAAACATGATGGGGATAGATTAGATGGTTAACATGGGCTTCGCAATCATTGGGATTAGGTTGGCGGGACGATGCTGGATGGAGATGTCAATGGTTCGTTGGTACCGGAGAAGAGAGTTGTCTTTCACCCTGTCTCATGAAGCTAAGCTGGATTGGGCCTGGCGTCTTCATCACCGTTCCTCGGCTCGGCCTGCTGTTTCATTTCTCTCCACGCTATCACCAACCTCAGAGCTACGATGAGATCCATCCGCAACATATGGGAATTGAGTGCATGAACAAACCGGCACAGCTTCTCGCGATGCATCGCCCAACCATTTCTCTTGACAGCATGTCTGCCAGGGACATCTCACGTTACGCTTTATACAGCCGAGTCTCGCCAATCCAAAAGCCATGGTTCCTCTCAATTAAAAGTGCATGTTTCGAATCTTTGGTGCCTGCGTTGATCTCAACAAACACCGGGTACAGGCGTTTACCCTGCCGTTAACCGGGTTCTTTAGCGTTCCATGAAACAGGAAGACCAGGATTTTTGCTTAGGCGACTCATATCCATTCAGCCCTGCTAATGTCCCTCGCTATCGTTTCCGCGGGCAATTGTCCCTTTTCATCAATATCAGCTTTTTAGGCTTTGGTGCTGAAGCGCCAACATCTGTATTTAAGGTCTGCCATGGAAGCCCAGTACCAACTTCTCTCATCACGCCTCTACAGCAGTACAGTCTTTTCAGTCTCTTCGACTTCTTCGTTCTTTTCCACCCTCTTTTCAGAATCACCTTCATTGATTGAAGCAGGCACACTTTCTCTCACACACCTTCGTTGACCTCGAAGCTTGAACGCCATTCTTTTATCTCGATCTTTCCCTGATCATTCCAACCTCGAACTTCAAAGATGTCTCTCAAGATCCAAGCTGCCGCTCTTCTTGGAGCTTTGGCTACCACCGTTAAGGCCCACGGGCACGTCACTGGAGTCGTGGCGGATGGCACCTACTACCAAGGATACGACCCCTCGTTCCAATACCAGCAAACCCCTCCTAAGGTCGTTGGCTGGAGTTGCCCGCAGTGCCTCGACAACGGCTTTGTAGACCCACCCATGTACTCCAACTCGAACATTGCTTGCCACAAGAGTGCGACCGCAGGCCAAGCCGTCGCTAAGGTCGCGGCCGGCGGAACCGTTGAGCTGCAGTGGACTGAGTGGCCTGAGTCTCACCACGGACCTGTCCTCGACTATCTTGCCAAGTGCGCTGGTGACGACTGCACGACCGAGACTGCTGATGCGTTGTCATTCTTCAAGGTCCAGGAGAGTGGCTTGATCGACGGCTCTGCCGCCCCAGGCAAATGGGCTTCGGACGACCTCATTGCTAACAACAACACCTGGTCCGTTAAGATCCCCTCAAGCATTGCCGCCGGCCAGTACGTCCTTCGACACGAGATCATTGCCCTGCATTCAGCTGGTCAGGAGAACGGTGCTCAGAATTACCCACAGTGCATCAATATTGAAGTCACTGGCGGCGGATCTGCCAACCCTACTGGTGTTAAGGCTACTGAGTTCTATACCCCAGATGATGCTGGGATCAAGGTCAGCATCTACTCTGCTCCATTGACCTACGAGATTCCTGGACCGGCTCTCTTCGACGGTGCTGAGGCTGCCCCATCTCAGGGGGCCGGTTCATCTGCATCTGCTGCTCCTTCAAGCGCTCCCGCTGCCACTTCAGCTGCCGCTTCCTCTGCTGTTACTGCAGCTCCTGTGGCTTCTTCCAGCCAGGTTGCTGCTGTCGAGGTTTCATCAACCCCAGTTGCTCCTGTCACCACCGCTGTTGCCATCCCCACCTCTGAAGTTGCCCCCCCAGTCATCAGCCAAATCGCCAACATCACCGCCGCCGTCCCAAGTGGCCTCCTCACCAGTGCTCTCCCCACCGCTGTCCCGACTGCGGGCAACATCTCTGGCCCAGTCCCAACCACCCCTCTCCCAGAGGGCATCACCCTCAAGGACCTCCTTGACTGGATCTCCTACATCATGCGCGACTTCTTCCACAAGGCTGGCAAGAACGGCAAGGGCCGCAAGCACCCTCGCCAATGGTAGATTTACACACTACCACTCTTCTTCTACCATTTAACGATTGGACCTCGCATCGGATCGAGGACAGAAAAATCATAGAACTGGCGTTCTTCTCTTCATTTCCGTTGTAGATGTACTTATTTTCGCTTCTTCAAGCTTTTACGGCTGATGTTTCTTGTATATGACTACTTTCAAATGCAATCGCGAGCTACCCTCGCTATGCCTTCTGACTCAAATTTCCTCTCTGCATTCTGAGATGTATATACTTCGCAACCAGTGACCTCGATCTTTCTTCGTCTAGCTGCTTGTCCTCAGGTAGCACTGTGACTTCGAAGATTCTTCAGTTGTCATATATGTTCCATAACTCTGGAGATCGGCATCTTGGTAATATCAAGTTTTGGATCTAGATCGTTCTATCATGCGTCAAAGCTTCAAGACAGCTGCCCAAGGCCCTGCGTCCCGTAGCCCGATATCCCAAAATGGGCTAGCGTTCCCGTGATCTGCCCGCTTCAATTTCGTCACCATCCCGGCCCCTCAAATATCGCTCAGCCCCCAACACTCAAACCTGTCGATGTCTTCTACACTATCTGATAAATAATTCTTCGTTATTCATACAGCGCAATAATACCTTCGCATGAAATTGGCCAAACAGATGTTCCGTCGTCTGGTGTAACCCCTCTTTTATTGGGGAAAGCGTCTGATTTTTAAGCCTGGTGAACCCAATAGCAAATCCAGTAGTAAAAAATAAACGCTCACAGCTAAAACGAAAGTTGAAATAAAAAAAGACGTACCAAAGCATTCCATCGCCGGGAATCGAACCCGGGCCCTGCCGGATCTTCATTTTGAAAGCGGCAAATCCTAGCCACTGGACCATGATGGATAATAGTTTGAAAAGTTATTAGTATTTATACACTTGTAAAAAAAATTGGCTAGGAATGGAAACGGGGAGAGATGGGGCAACAGGAAAGTAAGGCACAAGTGATAATGGAAGGTGCGGTGAGTCACTGTTTGCTACCGGTCCTGTGGGAGAAAGGCAGCAAACTGAGTGGGCAGGCGCAACTCTTACAACACAGCTCAGTTGCATGTTTCAAAACTTCAAGAATGGAGGTGAGGATAATCATCAGCTAATTTCAAGAAGAAATGCTTCTCTTAGACAGGATCATCTTTCGTTTTCTCATGACAATCTAATGGCCGGAATATCAAAAATGCTCAGCACTATGAACCGAAGCTAGGTAAGTATCACTGTTAATTTGAACTCAAGCTCCTTCCGCATTCCCGACCCCTATGCCTCACAACCCTTGCACAGCTCTTCTACAGTTCCATGTTTGCACATTTCTATGTATTTAGTGCCAGAGATTCCGTATGTGGGTGACCTTATCTTTTATTTTGGCCATTTCAATCCAGCGAAATCATGCACAGTAGGCAATGTCTTTTTATTCTCCCTCGAGCCAGTTTTGAACTCCATGTGATGATTATTACTAGATTTCTTGAAGCCTCCCGTACATATGAACGCGTACCGATTGGTATTTTCGTCCAGGTCATTCGGGAAAGAGCAAAGATCATGAAGGACATGGTTTTCTGTCACCAAACGGCACCTATTGGTGTTGTAGCCTGTGCTGGTCTATTACCGCTTACACTAAGTTTCCTCTGCCTACACTAGCTGCTTGCAGCCTACTTACAACCTGCTTGGCACTCATTTGTCTAGTCACTCCTTTATGTATATATACATCATCTAAGTAGCCCTTAATTAATCATGGGTTGCTACATTAATTCCCTGCATTTGGTTACATTTTCTCTTTTAACACTTCCGATCCAGAACAACGCGTGAGCAATCATTACCATCTTTTGATGCCCCAAATCAATTCCACCCCAAATTCCATATTGGAATTTGCTAAGCTGTTGGAAAACACTTGTACACATGAATACGTGTTAGTTGTGCTTTTAGTCAATTTCCCGAGAAAGAGCAAAAAGGCACTTAATGTGACCGAGTGCAGGGAATCAATGTGGCAATATGCTACGTTCTACCTGTCGATACAGCCAAAGAAAAGCGGACCTTCAATCATGGCAGGATATTGAATGACAGATGCTAAAGAACGAGGTTTTAACTCTCTGCTGAACCTCAAAACTATGGAATAGAGCGCGCAATCATGGTGAAGTCCAAGAAGATGCCCATGCCTGTATTTCACTTTGTTCTGCCCGGTGTCAACATTACCAAACCAGCCAGATTTCAAGCTTATGATCGGAGACCAAAACCCGCAATATTACCAATACATGCTGCGGTTTTGTCAGCTCTGACTACTGCTAGGGTCAACTGGAATCCAAAGAGATGCCGTTGAAGAATTTATGTTCTCCCAGATCCTGAGACTTTCAAAGCCGATCACGATGTAAATCATAGAGGCAGTCTAAAGTCCTTAGTCTCGTACAATTATACTCCGGTTCCTCTAGAGCTTAATATTATTTGAAGAGCTTACTCTTCCGATCCATATTTTGCCCTTTTAAATTACAAGTCGGAAAGATTGTATGTGGCGTTCCGTTCTGCTGGATGTCCTACTACCAGACCAACCTGGGATTGAACTTATGGCTGGAGACTAATATTTGAGAATCAATTTTCTATGCTTTGGTATTATTAGATCTCAATACAATTGAGGAAACATCCTACCTTTTTCGGGCTATAATTGACCTCCAGAATTCAAGGCTGCTAAGTGTTGTGGTCTGCATTGTTATACTGACCTCAATACTTCAGAAGAGGAGGTTGGGCTTGATTACGCTCGATGGCAGAGTTTTCGTTTGCAAACGTTATGCTGCAGACTCTTCCTCGGGTTCAGGACACTGTTAAGAAATTCCTACGGGTTCATGATTGGGTTCAAAAAGAGGCGGTGGTGGTTCTTCCCATGGTACAGTTCGCCGGTTCTCGGCATTGCTAACCAAATCGGGCTAAAAAATGAGCGGAAATGTTTGGGAGAGGATGTAGAAAATGAAGGGAGGAATTGAAAATGGAGAAACCACGCGAGAGTGGAGTTGGAAGATTGATCGAAGGGTGAGGATCTGCCTCCCAGTTTTGAAAGGAAATGATGATGCTCAGCAACATTTGCTTCTCTTAAAATACGATCATCATCGTTATAGCGCGGAGTATCCTCATCCCTTGACATCAGAGATTGCGTATATCCTTTTGCTGCATGTCGAAAGCCTCTCACAGACCACTACGTAGCTCCGCTCTTATGTCGAAATGTTGATCCTCCATGCCATGCAACCTGCCAGCAACTCCAAGGAAAATGAAACCGCTCAACAAGTCATTGGCATTCCCATATTTTGAACAAACAATCCATACTGAAACTTATGAGGGTGTCAGTGAAATGAAGATTGACAGAAACATAATTGCCGAAGTCGTCATTCCACGTCCGTAAGAAAGTAAAAGAATCTAATAAGACCCAGGATCAGCCATCAGACCCCCAACCCAAGCTAACCCGTGGCCTAGCCCCCGGAGATTTCGTCAAAATTCCCTTCTCAGCAATTTCCCACCCGCACCACGTGATTCCTTCCTCATGCACGCCATACCGCGCCACAAGCCCCTACCACGTCGGCGCCCCAACCACATAAGCATCCGCGCCCACATCAAACATCAATCTATCCCGGTAAGGCAAGGAGGGTGCCTAGCGATAAGAGTAAAATCACTTAAAAATCTTGCAAAGCTGAAACAATCTGCTCGCTACGTCAGCATGTCGTTCATCCTGCCCAATCAGACCTCCCAATCAAAACATATCCAAACTTTATTGGTTTAATTTAGCACCGACGCAATCAACACCAAGAACTTGAACTGACCTCGGTATCCCAGTTTTCCTAATTCGTATTCCCCTCGTATTCTTGCCTTGTATTTATATGCCCATTTCGCGAAGAACGCCGTGACGTGAGGGAGATGAGGGCGGTTCAAGAGTCGGTGTGGATGGCGCCGGCACCTTCACAGACGTGACAGGTTACCTGTCCGCCTTTGCACTCTTTGCAGGCGCTGCCGTTGCAGCTGTCGCATTTGATGGTGCCGTTGCCGTGGCAGGTCGGGCACTGCATTTTGGCTGTTCAGAGCGGGTGCGTTCAAGAGGTGATGGATATGACAGGCGGGGAATGCTGGTGTCTGAGGTTCGAGGGGATCGCGAGGATCTGTGGATTCGCTGCAGTGCGGAGTCGGGATTGATATAAGCGTTTCGAAACAAAACATAAAAACAAAAAAAAATTGGGAAGGGCCGAAATGTCCTAGCCCTTTATATATACCCACGAGCCTTTCCACGATCACACTGACACCCAATCTTGCACCTCATAATAGTGAAGCGGCACAGCCACCGAGAAAAAAAGCAACATGCAACATTCTCTCAGACCATATTCTCGGAAATTATCCCAGGTACAGCATCACAGCCAGCCATGGCATCGTTTCAATCTCATGACATTGGTGAAGAACAGCCCGTGAGATGTCGCCCTGGTGGCTTTGCGCGTTGGCTGGCACCACTGGCGCAACATCCAGCGTCGGTCGGTGAAAGACGTGGTAAGACGGCCCACGGCAGTGCCTTGCGTGCCTTGAAATGTCCGGAGCAATCAAGTCCGGACCTGAGGCATTAGCGTGCTTGTCAAGTAGATTAGCGAGCTGGGGTGTGCTGCCTTCACTGATCATACGACGTCACAAGCCCCAAACTCACATGAAGCTGAGGGCTGGGGGCGCCGATGACGAATGCGCATATGAAAGAGGAGGGCCAACAGACGCAGCACGCTCCCACAGCACTGGTAAACAGGATGTGAAACCTAGCTCAGGACATCCCATATTCGTTGCCTGATGAGGCAAACACACACGTGGCACCTGCAAGAGCGTTTTGTAGTGACCGTAGTGGTGGGTAGGGCTGAGCAGTGGTTGGATGACGGCAGCACAAAGTTAGTCGTCTTTGCCTACCTGGAATCTGCAAGAAAGGGCAAACATGGTTAATCCTCTCTAGGAAGGATGCAGATGCTGGGATTATGCGTCTTGGGTTATGGGTGTCTGCTTGTTAACACAATGATAGCTATTTAGGCAACGGAAGCTTGATATTGATATTAATGTTGGAGGGGGCGCGTGATGGAGACTGGCTATAGCCTTTATAGCTTCGCCTTCGCCTTAGACCATGGACTGGGTCGTTCAAGAGCGGCAGGCCCGTCATATATTTCCCTTTCCACGGCGCGGGCATTGATCTATCAATCATTATACTTCTGCATGCATCGCAAAGCAGTGAATGGGACGAGACTTACATGCTGCATGCCCAACTCGTCCACTCTCTCCACCCCCAAGAGTCGCATACACGTCTCCGTTTCGGCTTTGAGTACTATAGATTGTCAGCGCGGGGCCAAAAGATGCCGAGGTATCACGAGCGTAGTCGGTTGTTGAACAGAGATATGAGAATACGCACTTTCGAGGACACGGGCAACTCCTTCCTTCCCTCCAGCTCCGAGACCAAAGAGGGCTGCGCGGCCGATACCAACACCCCTTGCGCCCAGGCATAGCGCTTTGACGATGTCTGTTCCTCTTTTAATACCCCCATCGACCCACACCTCGATCCGATCGAACACCTCTGGGCAGTACTTGCGTATCTCCAACAGAGTGTGTATAGCCGGTGGTGCCGTGTCGAGCGCCCTTCCACCATGATTCGACAGTATTATCGCCTTGATGTGAGGGGCATGCAGGCTCGCTAGATAAGCATCCTCATGCGTCTGTACTCCCTTCAACACGATTGGCAAGTCCGTATGCTTCTTCAGCCAAGGCAGCGTTCTGTCCCATGTCAAATCAGCAGCCGTACCCCAAAACAGACTCTGCCCAACACCCATTGCTTTTGGCGCAGGAGTCTTTGCATCTGTGTCCGTCTTCGAAGT